ATTGTAATGTTTTTGATTTTTTCATTGATCATCAATAATAATGATTACCGAGAAAAATTTAAAAATTTTTATCAATATCGTTTTATTACGTCATCATCGCCATCATTTTTATTATAATAATCATCAAAATTACAACAATTTAAAAAATTATAAGCCTTGGAATTATTTTGTTTGTGATAACTATAACGATAATAATAACGTTAATAATAACGATATTAATAATGAAACTATTAATCATTTGTAACGATACGACTTTTAATCGATATGATGATGATGATGATGATCGATCGATACGAATAAATCAAATTAATAACGACGACGACGACGATGAAAAACAACAACAACAAAATTTTCTGAATAATTTTGTCATTGTTTCATCAACATCAGCATTATTTTGTAAAAAGTTTTCCAAAAACAATGTAAACATTGTTCATCGAACATCTTCTTCTTCCTACACATCCGCATCATTTCGCTCATTCCAGACATCATTTTTTATCTGGATGTTTATTGTCGTTTGTTTAGGCCCATTGTTATCTTGCAAATTTTTTCGGTTTGTTTTTTTTATTGGTTTCTGGTAGCACAAAATATTTCAAACTTTTAATCCATTTTTTTTTCTAACAAAATTTTTTACACTGACAGATTGATTGAAGCAAATTATCTTAGTCAAGAAATTATTCTGAAAAATATCATCAAAGAACAACACGAACAACAACAACAACAGCGTGAACATCATCATCATCGACATCAAACACATCAATTTAATCCGAATAATCTATTGATTGATGGATCAATATCGGAAACCGAAACCGAAACAACAACAACAATAATTGGATCGACAACAACAACAACAAATTCTATATTGAATATTATTCAACCAAAAAAAATGATTGAATCGAAATCGATTGAATCGATAAAACAACAACAACAACAACAACAAAATAATAACAACAACAACAAAAATGATGATGATAATAATAATAAAACAGACAAAAGTCCAGTAAAAATGAATTTAAATTTCAATGTTGATTCATTTGTACCTTTAGGTTATGATAAACTAATGCCACCTAAACAAAATGGTAAGCAAAAAAAAAAAATGAAAAACCCCGAGAAAATGCTTGTTCATTGAACGGCAAACAAACAACCAAACAAAAAAGAAAATAAATAAAGAATATTCTCCTATAATCATTCAAATGATTAAACCAATGAACAAAAAAAAAAATGGGCAAAATGAAAAAGCCTGAAAAAATACAAATTCTGCTGATGTAATGATCCGTACGGACTGTAGTTATATTTTTTTTTCAAATAATTTTCTGGATAAACCATAAATGTGAAACTAAAGTTCTACTGAAAATTCTATCTAGCTAGCCCAAAAAGAATAAATAAACATGTTCATATGTAGTTTTTGACGCTTTTTTTTGGACGATATTTCGGTATTGATGAAGAAAAAACCATCTGGGGAAAAAAATATTCTTGTTTTTTTCTTCTTCTTCTTCTTCTTCGTTTTTTTCATATGCGATTAAATTACAACGTTGTTCATGTTTTTTTTTGCTTGTTGTTTGAAATGATAGTTCTTCGAAAACGATGATGATGGTGATCAATCGGCCGAAGAGAGAGAGAGAGAGAGAGAGAGAGAGAGGCCAAACAAAATTGACGAAGTTAATTACAATGAAGGGCCACAGAATTTTTTTTCTCATGATTCCGGCATTTCGATTCTTGATCATCATCGTTATTATTATTGAAATTGATGTTTTTTTTTGTTTCTCGATAAAATATCGAGAATTGAAACCAGAAAGAAAATATTTCCTAATTGAAAATGATATTTGAAACATATTTTTTTTATAATAGTCAGCATCATTTTGAATTGAAAAATAAAAAAAAAATATTTAAATTCAAGTTTTGTTTTTGAAATGAAAAAAAAATTCCTTATCGACCAAAAAAAGATCTTAAAAATCAAAAGATTGATATTCTGGTTGCAACCAATAAGATACCCAAAAAATAAGAATCTGATCGATAAGCCTTTTAGCTCTCGCTCTCTCTCTCTCTGGTTTTTGTTTTTCTTCTTTATTTTTCCATTAAAAATCATCATCATCATACTTTGATGATGATATATTAAGTGTGTTTTCCCGAATAAATCTCAATCAAAAAAAAAAAGTGTTTATCATATTTCTGTTTTTTTCATATACAGTAGTAGTTATTGATAGATAAGTCATGAATGTGTTGTGTGTGAAGAAAATGTCTAAAATCTTTGAGAATAATAATCTCCTTGATATTTTTGTTTTGTTTTGTTTTGTTTGTTTGAAAAGCATCTTATGATGATGGTGGTGGTGGTGGTGGTTTACTTAAAATATCAAAATCCTAATAATATCAATTTTTTTTTTTTTTTTTTTTTAAAAAAAAAAACTTATACCATAGGAAAACCAAAAAAAGTTCGTTTTCATNTATTTGAATTTTTTTTTTATTTATAGTCAGCATCATTTTGCATTGAAAAAAAAATTATTTAAATTCAAGTTTTGTTTTGTGGAATGAAAAATTTCCTCCTCGACCAAAAAAAAAATAAAGATCTTAAAAATCAAAAGATTGATATTCTGGTTGCTGCCAATGAGATAACCAAAAAATAAGAATCCTGATCGATAAGCCTTTTAGCTCTCTCTCTCTCTCTCTCTCTCTCTCTCTCTCTCTCTCTTTGGTTTTTGTTTTCTTCTTTATTTTCCATTAAAAATCATCATCATCATACTTTTATGATGATGATATATTAAGTGTGTTTTCCAGAATAAATCTCAATCAAAAAAAAAATGTTTATCATATTTCTACTTCTGTATAGTAGTAGTTATTGATAGATAAGTCATGAATGTGTTGTTTGTGTGTTGTGTATGTGTGAAGAAAAATGCCCAAAATCTTTGAGAATAATAATCTCCTTGATATTTTTGTTTTGTTTGTTTGTTTGTAAAGCATCTTATGATGGTGGTGGTGGTTTACTTAAAATATCAAAATCCTAATAATATCAATATTTTTTTTTTGTTGAATAAAAATGACTTATACCATAGGACAACCAACAAAAGTTCGTTTTCATGTTTGGGTACTTGGCCTGGATTCGATTGATGAAGGTTCAATGGTAAGATGTTTTTTTCTGTCTGATTGAATAATTCATTGATATCAAAATGATCATCACTGAATTAGACATATGTAGCCGATATATTCATGTCACAATCATGGAAAGACAATCGTTTAATAATACCGGATGATATTGTTTTCAATGTAAATACAAGTAATGATCCACGTGGTCCATATCGTTTATTACCATTAACATTTATTGATAAAATATGGAGACCAGATTCATTTTTTAAGGTAAACCTTTTTTTTCNATGTCACAATCATGGAAAGACAATCGTTTAATAATACCGGATGATATTGTTTTCAATGTAAATACAAGTAATGATCCACGTGGTCCATATCGTTTATTACCATTAACATTTATTGATAAAATATGGAGACCAGATTCATTTTTTAAGGTAAACCTTTTTTTTCCATAATCATCAACAAACAAATGTTTATCAAAATTTTTTTCTGTCAATTTCCCCTCATATATATGTAGAATGCAAAAGAAGTGACCTTTCAAGAAATGACCATTCCTAATCATTATATTTGGTAAGTGTTTTTTTTTTTGGTAACAATTAACCCAAATATTGAATATATTGTGTGGTTAATCAATAATTGAATCAAATTTTATGATTGAAACATGTTCAATCAATCGATTTTTTATTTTCCATTCAATTCCACTTACTTTTGATGTTGTTTTTTTTCTATATTTCAATTCAATCTACCAAAACAAAAAAAAACAAAAAAAACAAAAAACAAAAAAACACCAATAGGCTTTATTCGGATAATACTATTCTGTATATGGTCAAGTAAGTAAATAAATACATAAAAAATATTCCCAAAACGATTCATATCATTTTTTTTTGAATATGATTTTTGTTTTTCATATTTTGCCTCATCATCATCATCATCATCATCATCATTGACTTGTGCGAGGGAAAAAAACAAGATTCTATTGAAAAAAAAACCAACGAACGAAAATGAATAGAGAGAGAGAGAGAGAGAAAGATTGAAAAAAAATTTGACATTATCATTCATTGATTGAATTCCAGTTTCATTATTTTGCATCTTTTTTTTTATTTCCCTTGGTTGCATATTTCATTCATCAATATTTTAATTCCCTTTTTTCATTCTCATTCAATTCAATATTTTTCCCTATAGAATCGATATGCGTTTTATATTTTTTTTTTCTCTCTCTCTTTATCTCTTCATCTCATTCATTCTTTTTCATATTTTCAAATATTATCTATACATTAATATTCTCACCTTGAAAAGTGTAGAATATTCTTTTTGAAACTGATTTTTTTCTCATTCTCATTCTCTCTCTCTCTTCCCATTCTATTCAATTTCTTCATTCATTTCTCCCTTGATTCCATTCTATTTCATGAAGAAAAAAAAATCTCATTTTTCCTTTCTTTTTTTCATTCTATTTTTACCTTACAATAAATAAAGATTGACATTATTACTATCATGTGCAATGAAATTTCAAACATATCCACATGATACACAAAATTGTACAATGAAAATTGAATCCTGTAAGTAATAATAATTATTATTTTAGCATTATAATCTCTTATTGAATAACGATTGAATTTTTTCTTCTTTTTCCTTTTCCTTTTTTAATATTCAATCATTACATAATCACCATTCACCATTCATTCATTCACTCAGTATCATATACAACAAAAGATTTAGTTTTTGATTGGGAAGAATCAGATCCATTAGTTGTTGAAGAACATATTGAATTACCACAACATGATTTAATCAATAAAGATATTGATTATTGTACAACTGATTATTCATCTGGTTTGTATCTTTCTTTTTTTTTCAATGGAAAAAACTTTTTTTTTTTAAAAATTTTTCATTTCCGAAAAACTTTCTCTTTTTTTTTCATTTTCCTTCAGGAACTTTTGCCTGTGTTCAGGTTGTATTCACCATAAAACGTCGAATTGGTAAATTTTTTTTAAAAAAATGATAATTAAAAAGAAAAACAGGGAAAAGAAAATTCTCCTTTTCACTTTATTTGTTTCTGAATGAAATTACAAGTTTTTTTCTTTCCCAAATAATTTTCCAAAGAAAAACAGCTTAAATATTTGCTCTTCATTTTCTCATGCGAAACATTAAATTTGATTAAGGAAGAAGAAAATTTTCATTCATTCATTCATTTTTTTTCGCTCTTCATTAAGTTTAATGATGATTAGTCCGTAGAAAAAAAAAGAAGAAAAGTGAAATGATGCTGATAATAATTTTATAATGATGTTGATGAGGAAAAAGAAAAAGAAAAAATTTTCTTTTTGGTCGGAACTTAGATTCAACGATTGAAATTCTTGAAAATTTTATTTCCTTTGAAATGATTTATTTTTTCTTTTCTTTTTTCTCGACTATTTCTACCTTATCATTCACTAGGTTATTATATATTTCATACATATATACCAACATGTTTAATTGTAATAATGTCATGGATATCATTTTGGATAAAACCGGAAGCAGTACCAGCTCGTGTAACATTATGTGTAACATCATTATTAACATTATCAACACAACATGCACAATCACAAAAATCATTACCACCAGTATCATATATAAAAGCAATTGATATATTTATGTCATCATGTACTGTATTTGTATTTGCATCATTAATGGAATATGCATTGGTCAATATTTTAATGGCTGATGAATTATTAAATGGTTGGATTGGTATTGCACCAACTGCTTATCAACAACAACAACAACCCCAACAACCCCAACCACAACCATCAACTACCACCAAAACTAATCATATGATTGATTCAAAACAAACTAAAATACAACCAAAAATGCATGATGCTAGTACAATGATGTTTCATAATAATAATAATGATCATAATCATCAAAATAAAGTGCCCAATCATATTTCAACTGCTACTACTACTACATTTAATCAACATTATCATCATCATCATCATCCAGTTCGTTGTCGTAGTTTAACTAGATTAGATAATCTAGAATTTAATCAAACTATTTCTGATTCAAATTATAATCATAATCAGGTAAATAATAAATCTTCCATTAGACAACCATCTTCATCAACGATTCTTCGTCATCGTTGTTGTACAATATTTAATAATGAAAATAAAATCAATGAATCGATGAAATGTACGATGAATGAAGATGATGATGATGAAGAAGAAGAAGATGTATTTCTTGATTCAGATAATCCGATGAAAAATTGTCGTCAAAGACGGCAACAACAACAACAAACAAATGATCGAAAACAATCATTTATATATGCATTTCCAACACCATCAATTTATGATGATCAAAATTTTTGTTATCGTAGTTGGCGTTTGCCACCATTTCAACAAACAACAACAACAGGTGTAAATAGGAATTATGAAGATGGTGATGGTTATGATAATTTCAATAACAACAATAACAACAACAACAACAATAATTATAATAATAAACAATATCTTTTACAAACAAAACATAAACGTGCATATACTGTTGATTATATATCACGTTATATATTTCCAATATCATTTATTGTTTTAAATATTATTTATTGGACATATTATCTTGAAGTTTTAGTAACACTTAGTTGAATTTTTTCTGTTTTCGTTTTTGTTATTTTGTTTTTGTTTTTTTTTTGAAAATTGTTGGAACTCAAAATTCTATAAAACAGCCTTGATACATTACACACACAAAGATTGTGCATTAGATATACCTTGATGAACATCTTGTTGACCTTTGACCTTGATATTATTTTGAAACAAAAAAATGTAACCGAATTACTTAATTTTGATTAAATGTTAACCGGAATTTAAAGTCTTTGGTCTTTTTGTTTTCATTTTTTTTTCGAATATAAAAATCTTACTATGGCCATCTATCGGATTCGAATTGAGTTTTTTTATTATCCTGTTTTAACCCAAACAGTTGTCTTTTACTATTTCGATCCAATTTGGTGGTCAAAAAATGACTCAAATTGGAACAGTGATCGATCCAAAACATTTTGGATTGATTTGTTTCGTTTCTTTTTGTGATTGATTTTGGTTTTGGTTTCAAGCTTTTTTTTGGTTTCTTTTTTTTTCTTCTAAGATTATTTTTGATTTCTTAAAATTTTCTAACACAACAACAAAATGCGATCGAATCATGAAATGATTATCAAATTGAATATTGAACTTATTTTTTTTTTTTGCATTGAAATTATTCGATAAAAACGTTTGCAGCAATGTCATCGAATGATAATAACCATGTTATTAAGAAGCATATCAATAATCAAAGATTATTTTATCATCAAATTTCACCATAATTATTAATGTTTGAATACATCTACAATAATAAATCCCAATGACAAAAAAAATGTCTAATTTAGGCATTTATTTTGGTCGTAATCGTCATTATGAAAAAAGGCCATCATCATCATTATTATTGGCTAGAAAATCATTTCGAAAATATAATTTTAAACGATTTCTAATGATTTCAACATTATTGGCCATAATTTCGATCATAACTATCAGTTTTTATTTTCCTGATAGTCTTTGTTATATGAAAAAATCAATATCCGATTCATCAGATAATAATAATAATGTAATTTCGAATAATTATTTTATACCACCATCATATAATCAACGATATTCAGATGATCAAAAATTGATCGAACATTTAAATATTGATCGAATTTTATTACATAAATTTGGTTATGATTATGAAGATTTTGTTCGTTTTAAAGCTGCCAAAATTCTTATGACTAGTTTTGATGAAATTTTTCAACATCCAAATACAAGCCAAATAATGTTTCAGATTGATTCGTCGAAGAATGATGTTTTGGTATTTTTACATATGCAAAAAACCGGTATGTTATTTTCCAAAATGATTTTTGATAATGTTTTTTTATTTCATTGAAATAAATCATTGATAATCAGGTGGATCAGCATTCGATCGACATTTAGTAAGAGATTTGATCCTACCACAACCATGTAAATGTGATTCAAAACGAAAGAAAAAATGTCGTTGTTTTCGACCGGGAACATCGAATAAATATTGGCTATTTTCTCGTTATTCTATTGGTTGGAAATGTGGTCTACATGCTGATTATACAGTAAATTTAATTGAAACCAAAATTTGAATCACTTTTCTTATTTCTATTTTCCATTGTTTCAGGAACTAACAAATTGTGTTGATAGAATCTTGAATCAATTAGAATATCAAACAGATCGTATCAGTACGAAACGAAATTTTTATTTTATGACATTATTACGCGATCCAATTTCGAGATTTTTATCCGAATTTAAACATGTTCAACGTGGTGCAACATGGAAAACATCTCGACATTGGTGTGATGGTCGATTACCTACCAGTAAAGAGATTCCGCGATGTTTTCATGGTACAAATTGGCGTAATGTTTCATTGGAAGAATTTATGAATTGTCCACATAATCTAGCATTCAATCGTCAAACAAGAATGTTGGCCGATCTTAATCTAGTCGGTTGTTATAATCGTTCATTTATGACACGTGAAGAAAGAGATTCAATTATGTTATACAGTGCTAAACAAAATCTTCGTCAAATGGCAATGTTTGGTCTTTGTGAAGAACAATTAGCAACACAATATATGTTTGAGAAAATATTTCGTTTAAAATTTCGTCGATCATTCATACAATTTAATCAAACACATAGCCATGAAGTATTGACTTTATTAAGTCAATCAACAATAGAAAAAATTCGTGATTTAAATCATCTTGATATGAAACTTTATTCATATGCTAAACAATTATTTCGTAAACGTTTTGCTGCAATTAAAAATGATGATAAAAATTTTGAAAATTATTATCAAAATTTAATTAAAAATTCACAATTACAATTAAAACGATCATCGAAAATGGCCAAAATGAACAACAAATTTTCAACAATCAATAGCAGCAATCAACCAATTACTAAAACTAGTCAATTAAAATCAATAAATATAATAATACCGAATGAATTGGATAATCAGATTGATGATTCACCAAATGATATTGATTATGATGATACATTACCTATGAATGATGATTCAAATGATCCAATCGATGATTATTATGTTTAATTCAAACTAAAAAAAATATCATTTTCAATTTAAGCATCTCCAAACTAATAAGCTCATTAGAAAAAAACATTTCCAAAATTCTTATTCTACTTTCTTAACTATTCTCATTCATTTTCTACACGTTTGTTGTTTGAAACTAAGTCTTCCAATTTATATTTCAAAACACAAAACAAAACAAAACTAACATCATGCCTTACACAAACGTAAACGAATGGTTGTGGCGCAAAACAAAA